AAAGCTTCCAAATTATGGAAGCATTCACCACGTAAAACAACTTTTCACCGAAGTTCCAGTCTTCAATTGTATTTTCAGAAATATGAATTTGCATAAAAGCCCGCAGTTTAATAATACCGCACAAATATACGAAAGATAGGGAAACACGAAAATTAGAGCAGATAATACACTGACTAAAAAGCACGGAAGGCAACTCCATTTGAATAAAAACATTAACAAGATGTAAAATATAAAATATAAAATATTGCATACAATTATCTACATAATAACAATTGTCTATAAAATAACAACCTGTAGTTAATGATTCAGTTATATACTCTCTATTTCTGCTTTCCCATCCATTCTGTTCTAATCTCTGTTTTCAATTCAATATCAGCCCCGAAAGAAAGTGTCGAACGAAGATATAAAATGTACGTCGAGTCGTACGTAATTCTCCTTGTTTTCTTTCTTTTTTTCGAACGAAACACGGTCGGTTCCCGGTTCCCGTGGGTAGCTGGAGGAAATTATTAGCACCAGATGCATTAGCATTTCAAAGGCACGTCGGTCCACGAACGGGCAGCAACAAGTACACCGGGCAAGTAGTCGTTACGTCCCACGGTTTCTACGACAACCGTTTAACAGGGACGTGAATTCCATACGACGAATATGAAATTCAAATAATGGAACAGCGGGTGGAGCAGCGCTATGACTTTCAACCCTCGCGTTGGTAAGCAAACGTTTATTTGCTCTCTCCGCGAGGTCTGTGGATCCGGCAAGATGTTGGAATCGCTCGAGATTCTCCGGCGTCCGGAGTTTAAACGTTCAAACCGAGCGATGTTGGCGAATGTTACGAAGCACGTGAGGCGTGATCACACCGTGTCTGTCAACGAGAACATTGTTACGAAGTCGAGGAATTATTTTAACGTCGCTGTAAAATACGACGAGCTCAGGGATTAATTTAATGCAATGTCGCGAAGAATATCAAAGAATCAGAGAATTATAGGATGCAATAGAAGGACTAGTTCAGACAGTGTCAATTTAAACTGATTGATTTAAAACGTTCGATAGAATTCTCCTACCCATGATCTAAATAATATAATATATGGCCGATTGTGTATATATCTGTGCTCAAAACAAATATTCTATCTGTTTCAGAACTGGAAGGATCAAGTAATTCAAACAATTTATGCAACAAAAATCTTAAGCGTATTAACAATTAACACGCAGTTGAAAAGTGTCACACTCCGTGATAAATTCTTAATTATTAAAAATAAAAGTTTCGCGGAATACATACATCTCGAGATCTTCGGTTCGCATTTGCTCAATCATCTCTCAGATCTATACCAGTTGCATTAGGGCGTCGATTCAAACCCTCGAACAGCACTCGACACTATCCACGTTCGTCGCGACAAATTCGCGAGGAACGACGAGCACACAGCCTAAGAGCGAATAATCGTGGCAAAGCGACGTTTCCAACTCGCGAGATCAAGA